CATATATATATATATATATATATATATATATATATATATATATATAGGGGCTTAATCAAATGAGAACTGATTAGTTTGATAAAAGAAATGGTCCAAATTTATTTGATACTAAATCGTTTACTAACGCTTACCACGATAAGTGTTTACCGACAAAATTCAATATTGTCAATTATTTATTGGGTGAGATTTTAGTCCATCAAAACGGTATCGTATGCAACAATTAACCTGGTAAGTGCTAATCGTGGTAAGAGTCGTTGTCGTCACGTGCCGGGTAAGACTCTCAGTCTTTGTTTTCACTCTTACCGAGTAAGATTCTTGATCTTTGCCATATTGATTCGGTAAAGTAATGTGACTTGATAAGAGCTTACCTGGATAAACGTTTGGTAAACGGCCCCTAAGATTCAAACGCTAAATTTAACCTAATCAGACCCATTTTTTACATTTCTTAAAATTATTTGTTTACTAAACTCGTTTTAATCAGTTCGCTAATTATGTAAATTATATTTTAAAAAGCAATGTTTTAATATAAATTATTGATACGTGCTCAAAAGCTCAAAAGCAACTCTTTAAGTTTAAAGTTTGTGATTCCTAAGTTCACTTTTCTTCTTGATAAAGTAATGTTTCAAAAAGAATTGGTTATTTTAATAAGAAATGTTACATCTTGAAAAAAAAGCGTAATTTACATTTTTAGTCTCCGTAATTTGTGTATTTTAACACTTTAAGTCCTTATTTTAAAATATCTATGAATTATATTTTTAGGGCTTGTATTTTATAACGTATTAGATTCTTAAATCTAACTCCATCCAAAAATTTATGTTAACTCACTGAGTTTAGAAAGTATTTTAATTATTTAATTTATTTTTTAATTTCTATTAAAACCACATAGACCAAAAATATAATTTAATATATTTTTTATTTAAATCATAGGGACCAAGAATGTAATTTACTCTTTATAACTCATCTTCCCGAGCACACCATGAAAGACATCCCCTCTCGGCCACCAGATGGTGCTCCGACCATCACGTGGTTCTCTGACCACCAGGTTCTCCCACGAAGTAGATTTACCATCCTCACCTGGTTCTCCGACCAAGTGGATCCACCACCTAGTTCTTCAACGAAACAAATCCTCCCGTCATCGTTCGCTGCCGCCTTCTCCCACGATCAGATTTCTTACTTCATCTTTCGTAGCCTCCATTTTCGTTCATACTCCAACAGATCCATCAAAACTTTGATTTTGTCATCTTTCCCAGCCCTCACCTGTGTTAGAATTTCTAGTTTTCGATTGTTTGGATTCCACTGAAAGTCGTGTATCACTTTCAGATTAAAGTATTTCGATGGTACAATCGAAATCTCAATCGGATAAAATTCAGTGGTTATAGAATAGAGAATCAAAAATCGTTATGAATCTGTGTGTACCTCTCAAAATCAAAATGACCAATTCGAAAATTGAATGTGAAAAACCGTCAAAACGGCAGTTTTTTGAACCCTAAACCGGGTTTAAAATTTAAAATTCGGATTTCGAAACATTTTTCACAAATCAATATTATCCAAATAAAAAATTTCCAAACTGACCTGGCAGCTCGACCCCAGCCAGGGGCTCTACCCCTTGGACCTCGCCAGGGGTTGCCGCCCCTAAATCAAAATAAACTCAAACAAATGTGCACTCCGCACCTTCCCTACTTGTTCGATATTTATCATGATTACATTGGTCAACAAATTAATCTCATTACACTTAAATGATATTAGTGATACAAATCACCAACAACCTGGTTCTCTGACGAAGCAAATCCATCACCATAGAAGCTTTGATTTCATCTTCTAGTAAGCAACCGCTATCTTCGATCTCTCATGGGTTTTAATGAACAAAAGCTTCGCTTTCAGGTTTCAATCAATAGAATTTGGTGGGCTTACAAAGGGGATCAACAGGATTTCGTTCTAAGGTTTTGATTTCGATTGAGATGCTAAAAAGACGGACATATTTTTGTTAAAGAAAATGAAGACTGTTTTTCGTTGAAGAAGATGAGTTTTGTATTGACTTCACACGAAACCTTCCTACCTTCTCCGGCCATCTTCAAGTACAATTTTGCATCGAATTCATCAATAGCCACATATTCCATCGAGTTCATCAATAGGTTTTGCAATTTATTTCGTCTTAAAAAAATGAGTTTGTGTTTGATTTTGTTCCATTTAATCTGGTTTGTTCTTCAAAAAGGAATGTTCTCGTGGGTTCATGGATTTGATTTGATTTTGGATATTATTTGAGTTTGAATTTAGTTATGAGTCTCATGTGTGGGTCTTTGATTTCGATTTTCAATTTTAGTTTTTAGGGTTTGAATTTGGATTTGATTTGTTGTGTTGGGTAGCGGCCGGAGAATATGACCGAAGAAAAGAATTGGGTGGGTGGTCTTAGGAGAGAATACGAGGAAGATAAAGTAAATTTCATTCTTGGTCCCTGTGGTTTAATAAATAAATAGAGTAAATTAATTGAAAATAAAGATAAATTAAATGACTAAAATACCCCTCTAGACTAACCAAGTTAACAGAACTTTCGGATGAAGTTAGATTTAATGAGCCAATAGTAATACATTACAAAATTCAAACAAGAAGTATGTAATTCATAGATAATTTAAAATAAGGACCTAAAATGTTAAAACATATAAACCATAAGGACCAAGAATGTAATTTACTCAAAAAAAATTAACAAAAAATCATGTTGATTTTTTTGGGTTTTTATTTGTGTGATATTTGAATTTTGGATAAATATCTTTACTATTTTATAAGTTATTTATATAAAACTTTTAAATTATGAAAGTATAAATATATGAAATATTAAGTATACAACTATAAATCATTGATGCTTTAAGAATTATACATTGATGCATTAAAAATTATAGAAGGGTAATCGTGTAATGGAGTGATATATATCATGATTTTAGTGTTTTGTTTTATTTCGTCTCTGTATATGTTATAATATGGTTTTTATTTTTGAATAAAATATAAATTTGATGCTATCATAAAATTTCGAAAATAAATATATCAATATTAGTATCGGGTAAAATTCTTGATCCTTGTTATGTTCACTCGTTAAGGTAAATGAACCAGTAAGTGCTTACTAAAATAAAATGTTTAATAAATGACTCCTTAATCTATATAAAAAATAGTAATTTTTTCACATAGTGATTTTCTTTCTAGAGACTCGTATTTCAAAAATAATAATAATAAATAATTTAGAATAGTTAATTGTTTTTTCTTCAAATAATTTAAAATAATTAGAGCTTTCTAGTTGGTTACATGCACATTTTTTTGTTAAAAAAAATCTAGATAATTAATTTTTAAAAGTTTGATAATTTATTTATTACAAAAAAATGTTCAGAGACATAATAATTTAAATAATTTAAAATGAAAAATGTTCAATGGTTTTTATAAACTTTTCCCATCTGTTTATTTTTGTTAAATTTAACGGTCACATTTGTCCACATCATTAAAAAAGCTTATAGCGAATTGGATATTCAGGTTAATAAAAAAAAAACTCATGTATTTCTTTTTATTTAATGATTGGTTAAAGTCAATTATGATATATTTATCATCATCAACCATGATGTTAAAAATATTATTTAAATGTAAATACAAATATATCATTTGAAATCTTTTCTGAAAATGATGGGAAAAAGTTTATTAAATGTCTTTTTTAAGTTAAATGCTTATATTATATAAAAACGTATATATTTTCTTTATTTAAAAAAAATTAAAATACAAGATTTAAATATTATTATATTGTTTTCTCTGTGTCCCTTTCGTTCTCATGTACGAGTATTATGTGTTTATTTTGTCTTGAGCAGGACGAAGTGTTTATTTATGCTTACTCACCACACACTATTTCTCTCGTTCACGCCAAATATCCCTCTCTGCTTTTCAGTTTCTTCCCAAAACGAATTCTCTTGATCTTCAATCCAGTTGGGTACATTTCAAATTCATGTGAACTGAAGCTTATGTGACCACATGCTTTTCTGTTATTGAACTTGCCTCTTCCACATCATTTTCGTTTCTTTCTTGTTCGCTTTATAATGTAAGAGCAAACTCTGCAATTTGTTCCGTCCTTCTTCTCTTTAGCTAACATCCATTTGCTAGAAGCTCATCTGAATCTTTCTTTTCCATATCTTGGTCATGGGTTCTCGTTAATTTCACTCAAAGATTAAAGCCTACTTCAATTCTGGCAATACCCATCTGCTTCAAACCGTTCTAGATCAGTTTGTGTTCCTCTTTGATAAATGGGTCTTCGCTAAATTCAGTTTTTGGCACTCTCTTGAGCTTTTTTGAAGTTCTTTGAGTTTCAGATATCCCGGGGTTTGCTTTAGAAACATGTAATTGTTACGTTGGTTGATATTGCATTGTTACTGTTTGATGAATTGCCTTCCTGTATATGTAAGAAAATGAGGTCAGTAAGGTGATGAATTCTGTTTCTTTTGATCGGTCACACTTCAATTGAGATCTTAGTGGATGGAGTATATGTTGATGAACTCATTTCGTTAGTACTTTTTCCCATCACTTGCCTATGGAGTTCAAGTAGGGACGTCCCTCTTCATCTAGTTCGCATTCATCACTAATTGATTCCTCTGATAATTCTTAGCAATATCTATTCTCATACTCATTCTTTAATAATCCCCTGAGATGTAATGATCAGCAAGTGTATATAGATTTTACTATCATGAACTTCATCAGGGGTTCTTATACAACAAAGCTACTGATTCAACAAAAGAACTCAACCATCACAATGAAGTAAAGTTCCTTGTGTTTCTGCCCATTCCTAGGTGCATTTTTTGCATACAAATTTGAATTGTTATAGTATTAGCCTCTTGAGCTAGCCTGCTGCTTTTATTGTTGCCGTTCCTATTTTAAAGTTGTCTCAGAAAAGAAAATAGAAAAGTACTCAGAGCAAGAGACAACTATCATTAAGAAGAATATACTTAAAATCTTTGAACTGGGAAACTTTGTGAATTGCCATGGAAGAAACATTTGTTCCTTTCCGTGGAATCAAGAAAGATCTTAAAGGAAGACTACTGTGCTACAAGCAAGACTGGACAGGTGGCATCCGTGCGGGCATCAGGTTTGTGACTCTTTGTAGCTCATATTTTTCTTAGTTAATAATTTCTTGTGTATATGACTTGCATTTGATGTAGTTCCGATCGTCCTTACGTTTAATTGATTAGGATACTGGCTCCAACAACATATATATTCTTTGCTTCAGCAATCCCAGTTATATCTTTTGGGGAACAATTAGAAAGAGACACAGGTTGGACAGTTTTCTAGTGTTAAAACATTGATGTTATTGTTTTTTGAACTGGGTATCTGCTAATATGAATCTTCATGATGTTTGTTTTGCTTCAGAGGGGAGTCTCACTGCAGTTCAAACGCTAGCATCAACGGCACTATGTGGCATCATCCACTCTATAGTTGGAGGACAGCCACTGCTTATACTAGGTGTGGCTGAGCCAACAGTGCTAATGTACACATTTATGTTCAAGTTTGCAAAAGATCAAAAGGATTTAGGACAACCCCTTTTCCTAGCCTGGTCCGGATGGTACTTTCTGGCTATTCATGTGGCTTAAACTAGCTACTCTGTAAAGTTTAGCACTTAAAGTCTTAAATAAGTTCTGTAATCTTCTCCCTGAGAACAGGGTTTGCGTGTGGACGGCCCTTTTGCTGGTCTTGCTATCCATTCTTGGTGCCTGCTCCATTATCAATAGATTCACACGGGTGGCCGGGGAATTGTTTGGTCTTCTAATTGCAATGCTCTTCATGCAGCAGGCTATTAAAGTGAGTATTGTCCATTTCCATTTCACCTTAAACAAACTTCACTAAACTGCTGGTTATTAGGGTGAGTTTGCAACTAAGAGTTGTAATTTTTACTATATGTTGGCTCCAAGATCACTGTCCAGAATGTTATTATATTACTATGTAAAGATCACACTCCCCTTGAAAATAAACGCCTCCATTTTTTTGATTAAATTCACATATGATGCACGATACTCTAACATACACATAATTTCATAGGGAGTTGTGGAGGAGTTTGGTATTCCAAAAAGTGAGGATCCCAATCAGCCTGCCTTTCAGCCTTCATGGCGCTTTGGGAATGGAATGTTCGCACTCGTTCTGTCTTTCGGCCTTCTTATTACTGCTTTGAAGAGCCGTAAAGCAAGGTCCTGGCGTTATGGAACAGGTTAGTGTCTAACCCTTGGACTCTGTGTTAAGAATCTAGAACAATTGTCTGAAGCTCAACTAAGTTGTTTGTTCACAGTCTCAGTCTTGCTATCTTTTTTGTTTGTGTATTCTGACTTCTAATTCTCCAAAGGGTGGTTACGGGGATTCATTGCTGATTATGGTGTTCCTTTTATGGTGGTTGTTTGGACTGGTGTCTCATACATGCCAGTTAATGATGTCCCAAAAGGGATACCAAGGCGGCTTTTCAGTCCGAATCCATGGTCTCCTGGTGCATATACAAACTGGACTGTTGCAAAGGTGGTTTCTACACTCGATCTTGATCATATAATATGAGATACTCTAATTAGCACCTGCACGAAAGGTTCTTTTTCTTATATGTTCTTCTAAGGCCATAATCTCATACTTAAAAGTCCTGCAGGAAATGTTGAATGTGCCTCCTGTATATATTGTTGGAGCTTTTATTCCAGCAACCATGATAGCAGTGCTTTACTATTTTGATCACAGTGTTGCATCTCAGCTTGCGCAACAAAAAGAGTTTAACTTAAAGAAACCTTCTTCCTATCATTATGATCTCCTTCTTTTGGGTTTTCTGGTAAGAGATCTTTCATGGGCTTTTTGGTAATGATGAATGCTTTAATCAAGCTATATGATAAAAAAACAAGTTGGTATGTCATCTTTTTCGCTTGCTTTTTTTTTCTGGATCAGACCATACTATGTGGGCTAATTGGCATTCCTCCAGCCAATGGAGTTATTCCGCAATCTCCAATGCACACAAAGAGCTTAGCCACTCTAAAACATCAGGTATATCTTATTATGCAAGCTAAATGAAACTTTTTCCCCTTTTCTTGCTCTCATCTGGATATAGCAGGATGATGGTTCCAATTATTTTATTGTATACTTCGGTGTCATTCTTTTTCCTCCTATACACCAAGTGACCATCATTTCTCAATAATTAAATAGAAAATGATCTTGGTTCCCCTGTTTCTTTAAAAAGTGTTCACTTTCTTAAATGCAACAAGTGATCCCATCTTGATTGATAGTGTTGGAGCTAGAGTTTTCTCTAAGGCAGGCGAAAGTAATAGGGAAGCTGAAAAAGAAAAATCAATTTTATCTAGATAAAAGGAACACTAGAGTTCTAATGGTATATTAAATGAAAATGTTCGAACTTTTCAGTCTTTTGCTACTAGATTCAGACTTTGTGATTTACGGCATACTTTCTGTCCCTCTGGAACAGCTTCTACGAAGTAAACTTGTGGACACTGCTCGAAAAAGTATAAGCAAGAATTCAAACTTGAGTGAGCTGTATGAGAACATGCAACAGGCCTACAACGAAATGCAGACTCCGCTTGTTTATCAGAATCCATCAAGTCTGGTATATTAACCTTCAATTGGTTCAATACAATTCTTAACAGTATTCCGTGTCCTATGTCTATTAATTGGATGTTAAACAGGGACTGAAAGAATTAAAGGAATCAACAATATTACAAGCCTCTAGTAGTGGTTACATAAATGCACCAGTTGACGAGACTATCTTTGATGTCGAAAAGGATGTTGATGAACTTTTGCACGTTGAAGTGAAGGAGCAACGACTTAGCAATGTGCTACAAGCGTTAATGGTTGGTGGGTGCGTCGCTGCTATGCCCGTGCTTAAAAAGATCCCAACTTCAGTTCTTTGGGGCTACTTTGCTTTTATGGCCATTGAAAGTTTGCCCGGCAATCAATTCTGGGAGCGGATATTATTACTTTTCACTGCTCCAAGTCGAAGATACAAGTAAGTTTCACTGTGGACACAAATTTCAAGTGCCATCTGCTCCTCTAATTATGTTAAGAGTCCCACATCAGCTAGACCTGGATCATTTCTCCTCATTATATGTTGGAACCCCCTTCTTTGCTCAAGGCTCTTTTGGAGAGTAATCCAATGAGGTTCCACATATTCTAACATGGTATTGGAGTCACTCTAGGGAGTGGATTTGACACTCTGACACAATTTGTGCCGTCTGGCCTCCATCTTGGACCATTTGTCCTAAATATATGTTGGAACCTTGACACTCTGACACAATTTGTGCCGTCTGGCCTCCATCTTGGACCATTTGTCCTAAATATATGTTGGAACCTCCCTTCACTCCTCAAGGTCTCTAACAAATTATGGTTCCTTGTACTCTTTTGGAAATCTTGATCAGGGTCTTGGAAGATCATCACGCTACATTTGTAGAAACTGTACCTTTCAAGACGGTTGCTGCGTTCACATTGTTTCAGACGGTTTACTTGCTTGCGTGTTTTGGCATAACGTGGATCCCAATAGCCGGCGTTCTTTTCCCACTTTTGATCATGCTTCTTGTTCCTGCAAGGCAATATTTACTTCCAAAATTCTTTAAAGGTGTCCATCTTCAAGATCTGGATGCAGCTGAATATGAAGAAGCCTCAGCCACACCCTACAATATGTCCTTTGGTGTAAGTCAACTTGTTCTTCAGTCTTACTGCTCCACAGAAAAGTCAATTAAACTAAAACAAAGACATAAAGAACAAATAATCTCTCTACTTTGTCTTGAGTTAGAAGATAATTAAGCAAAATCAATACATTTTTAAACAAAAAATAAATAAATGTTATATTTGGCTTAGGAACTGTTAGAGTTCCACATTTCTCCCCAATATATGTTGGAACCTATCTACTCTTCTTAAGGGCCTCTTTTGGAGAGTAATCTAACTAGGTCTCACATATTTTTATGTGGTATCAAAGCTTTGATCTACCACTCTTGGACACTCTGGGTATCAAACCTTAGATCTGCCACTCATGGGACTTGACACTCTAGGGCAATCTGTACTTGTCTAGCCCCCTCTAGGACACTTTGGGACAATTTGTGCCCGTTGAGCCTCTGTTGGAGGGCCATGTTAGAGTCCTACATTTATTAGACTTGGACCATTTCTCCCAAGTATATGTTAGAATTTTCCTTCTCTACTCAAGGGCTTTTTTGGACATATTCTCACAAAAATGATGACACGAAGGAACAAAAAGCCTCATTATTTGCCTCGAGTTTAAAAAGATAAACATGCAAAGTTGATACATTTTCAAACAAATTTTTTTTAATGTTGTATTTTGCTTAGGAACCATCAAGAGTCACTTATGCCACTTTGTGCATCTATCGATATGTCCTAAATGCTTGCAGGATGACAATGCTCATTCAAGAAACCCCCAAGTTGATAGTGCAGAAGTTCTTGATGGAATTGTAACAAGAAGCCGAGGAGAGATTCGCCACACTAGCAGTCTAAAGGTAACAAGTCTAACCCAAACTCCACTCGAAGATATGAAGCCTGTGTGTAGTCCCCGTCTCTCGCAAAGGGTTTACAGTCCACGTTTGACAGAGTTAAGGGTGGCCAAGAGCCCTAAATCACCTGGAAAAGGGCTAGAAATCAAGAAAACCCCCACCCCCAGTCTGCACCCATCTATCCTTGGTCAAACCAGTAATGGCTCCTCTTCTTGTTAAGGTAAGCTAATTGGTGCTAAGAGGTTGTGTGCTTGTGTTTTAATCATGGTTTTGTAGGATCTCTGTTTCTTTGAAATGTATTGTGGAAAGAGTGTACATTATCTCTCCATTATCTGTTTTATTATATGTATGCATAGGCTGGGCAGAAACCATATTATCAAATTTATAATGGAATAAAAAGGTTGATATATAATCACTCTTGCAAAATCTTTGGAAACTACCTTCTGCTTTGCTATGCAATTTGTTTCTAGATATTTGATCAAGATTCATGTTATGACCTCCTTGAAATGGTGACTTTGGAGAAGGTTCATGGAGGTCACCCTTTTAAGTGGCTTGAGATTAGGTACCCTTTGCTCTACCATTTCCTTCAATTTGTTGCTTCATTGTCATGCATAACAAAATGAAATGGTTTATGTGAGAACATGCAACTCCGTTAGATTAGGTTTCAACATTTATTGCTGAGAAATCATCCAAGTCAAGCCGATGTGAGTTATACCCGCCCGTCTAGACAAGCACAAATTGTTCTAGAGTGTAGAAAGGGGCAAGACCTAGATGACTACAGATGGCACCATAGTGTCGGAGTCCCTAGAATGCTAAATTTTGGCTCTTATACCATGTGAGAATACGTGGAACCCCATTAAATGACTCTCCAAAATATGATGTTCTCAACAAAAAAGTACGAGTCCCAAAGGATTTAGCTTAACGGGTAAGAAAGTAAACATTATAGTATGAAATTCACCTCCCTTTGGATGATAAGCATCCAATCCTTATCAAATTGTTGTTGAATGAGATGATGATTGAGGGTACATTTGCTAGTGGAGTCCAAAGGATTGATTCCACTACATTTTTTTGAACCAAACCACCCACTCGGTCACCATTCCATAATCGCTTTTATTGGACCCTACGTACTCTACAACAATTTTGCTTTACTTTTAGGTATATGTTTTATTTCGTTTTTGTAATAGTAAATAGAAATACAATATCTGTGTTCGGACGTTTTATATTTTAACTTAATATATGGTTTGACGAAAGATACAGATACAACACGAGTTTATTTCCTTTGTGGTAGAGAATCGCATTTGCGAACCACAAAACCATCACTATAACAAAATTGGGTTTATAGGACACCCTTAATCTCTAAGTGTCTCAATAGACCGCTTTATAGAGCTTAATTTATAGGACCAAAAGTGTCCTATCTAAATGTGTTGTAATAAGTGTATATGACACTTTTGGGCGTCTTAACAAGTTTTTTAGGACATTTTTAATATAAAGTGTCGCATTAGCAACTTTATAAAAAGTGTCCTATAAACTTAATTTTGTTATAGGACGTTCGTTTTAATAGGACAGTTTTTCAAATAGTGTCCTATAAAGTTGCTAATGAGACGTTTTATATTAAAAGTGTCCTAAAAAACTTATTACAAAGCCTTTGGATAGGAAACTTTGTTTTTTGGTCCTATAAACTAAGTCTTATAAAGAGGTCTATTAAGACGCTTAGAAATTGAGAGTGTCCTATAAACTCGATTTTATTGTAGAGCACCGAGAGTGATATATCTAGAATATTTTTGTTGTTGTATGATTTAAAAAAATTACGTCAATCATTCATAATAAATATGGATATTTGACGATGGTTTCTGGTCAATAAACAAATCAATCATATTCTCAAGATGAATATTAAGCTATGATTATTTTAGGAGTTTTTAAGTGAATAATTAATTTTTCCAAGTATGTTTATTTGTAAGGACACTTAATTTTTCACAACAAAAACAATTTTGAAAATTACTTTTAAAAAAGAACATATTTTAAAAAATTATTTACTTCGGTTATTAAAGTCATGTCAGATTGAATTTCAATCAAACGTCAACAAACAAGTGGTACTGGTAGGGGTATGTTGGATTATATCTTGATTTTAATATTTTATTTATTTTTTATCTCAGTCGATGTTATAGTATGATCTTATGTGATTTTGAAGAAACGATAATGTTTTTATTTTTGAATAAAATATAAATTTAAAGATATCATAAAAATTTGACAAAAATATATCAATATTAGTATCAAATTAACTATTTAAAATTTTTATTTTTTGTTTAATTTTTTAATTCAATTTTTTTATTATAATTTAATTTACGTTCAATAACGAAGTAATTTATATTTGGTTTAATAATATAATTTWATTATAAAGATAATAATTATTTATTTTGTTAGAACTCGATGATTATCTTACTTGTAGTTTAGATTTTTTATATTTTAAAATGAGATGTTTATGCTCTAATTGATTATGTTTATCYRCAGTTAKTTATACGAATTYAAACATSGAGCTTTAATAAGTTGTACTTATGCATAATTTACTTGTAATCTTGAATTTTAAGTAATATGCATCAATATGCAGTACTTTATGTGTAAAAAATGGTTTTTAAGAGTTTTTGTCAAATGCTTTATATATATATATATATGTATACACACACACACTAGTCGTGTACCTGTACAATGCGGCGGGAGCCGTGAATTTTACCGATTTTGAAGTTTCACAGGTTTTATTAGAGAAGATTTAACGATGATATAAGTTACATTTGGTCTTTACATACTAATACAATTTGAATAAATAAGATTAGGGTTCCAATTACAGTCTATCGATGAAAAAAATCTTATGACAGTTTAAAATCCAATATATTTAAACAACTCCACAAATGTATTCGATTTACACCAAGAGCAAAGAATCAAGAAATCAGGAGCAAGAGTTCTAGAGCAATTGAATGAGATAACTTTTAATAACTCATGATGAATCTCAAGTTGAATCTCACCTTGGGAGATGGGGAGAAGACATAGAGGTATGAGAGGGTGAAAACATGAGTGGAATGTATCAAAAGTATCTTGGGAACATGAAAATAAAAAGTAATAATGTGCATTGTTAACTTGTACTATATGTTATTTTAATTGTATATTAAGAGATTTTAAGATTGAATGCATAAAGTAGTAGTAATTAATGCATTATGAGTTGTTTTTAAGACTTTTAAGACTTTGTGCATAAATGTATAGTACTTTATGCATTAAAAATTATTTTTAAGATTTTTAAAAAATCTGTTTTATAAAATAGTATAAATATATATAAGTTTATTTAAAAAAATTCTAATTAATTTTTTTTAAAATGTCAATCAATCCTGATATTTATATCATCAAAATGGTAACTTATCTATCATATTAAAACTTGAAAATTTCTAATTACAGTAGATATACTATTTTGAATATTTATCTATAATTTGACGAATATCTATGAAACATTATATATAAACTAGAAGCGTATTCGCGCAATGTAGCGAGATACATCGTGATTTTAATATTTCATTTTATTCTTTATCTCAGTCGATGTTATAATATGACTTTATGTGATTTTGAGAAAACGATGATGTTTTTATTTTTGAATAAAATATATGTTTGAAAAATATCATAAAAATTTGACAAAAATATATCGATATTAGTATCAAATTAACTATTTGAAATTTCTTATTTTTTTGTATAATTTTTTAAATCAATTTTTTATAATTTAATTTATATACAATAACGAAGTAATTTATATTTGGTTTAATAATATAATTTTTTTATAAAGATAATAATTATTTATTTTGTTG